CTGCCGAAGTTGGTTGAGAACCCTTTGTCCAGGGGTGGACACACACACACACACACGCATGTTAAATTTCGCGAGCGGAGGGGCAGGGCCTAAATAGGTGTGCTGCTACTACCCCTGATGAATTGGAACGCTTCTGGGATGTGAGAACCATAGTAACAAGCAAATTTTGGAAACCATGTTGTTTTTGCACGAAGGGATTTGCGTTTGAAGTGCCGGGACCCATAGCCCATTGCGGTTCATGAGTTGCCGACTGAACGGCATCAGCAATGAGAAAGATCCATTGAAGGGTTTGCTGTCATATAAGGGGGTCGACTCCGTGAAAGATCGGAGACTGCTGGGGAGAAACCTCAAATTGGGATGTGAAAAGAAATTTTTGCAACGCTGCCGCAAGGCTACCCAAACGGTATAATTTGCACCCTTCTAGGTTTTCTGCACACAAATTGGCTAAACACAGCCACTCGGGAAATCCCACACACACATGCTACAGTCGGTGCAGTGGTGTCCAGTGGGTATGCAGACGGTCCCAAGTTCCGGAACATGAAAGGTGCTTCGACAATTGTGATCGGGGGTTCTCTCCACACCTTGCATCCCGTGACCGGGGGCCTCTGGGTCTGTCTGAGGTGATCCTTCTTAAGAATGAGAGCCTTGGCACATCGCAGTGTTCTCGAACGGGAATGGCAGAAGGATGTTGAAGATGGGTTGGGGCCAAACTGTCATCATAGCAGTGGCAACATCGCAAGGTAGGAGGCATCATGGCGATGTGGGACACATGTTCATCGGCCGGCGCATGTGCAATGGGAAGTGATTCACTTGAGACATCTTGAATGATAGATGTTGGGGCATTCTTGTATCTTTGTGAGTACCACCTCAAGCCCGAACCTTCAAATAACACAAATCATGTTCGAACACACTTTTGTGATGCCCCTTTGAAACAAACACAATTTTCATAATCGAACTGAAATAAAGTTGTGCAATTTTTTCTGTACCAAATGAGGGTCCGTGTGTTTTTTTTGACCTGTTTCTTTGACAACGTCTTTGTGCAGTTAAGTCTCTCGTTTGTATTTGTTTTATTTGTTTTTCAATTTGTCATTATTTGTTTGGTTTTGTTTCATTTGACAGACACTTGTTTGTTTCTGTTTGTGCGGCAGTTTTCTGCGCCGGTTGATCGGGTGTCCATGTTTGAGGGACGAGGTCCTGCCCATCAGCTCGAACGTGAAGACCATTGCCGTGCTGGGCTCGGCGTGCCAGCCCGAGGACAACACGGAGGAGATGCTCAACCAGTTTCTTGGGCGCACCCATGGAATGACGGAGGGTTGGGAGAAGGGAGGCTCAGGTTCTGGTGATGTGTGACGTCAGGATGCCAATTCGTCGAGGGACGGGGACCCAGACGCACCAGAAGATCTTGAGAACAGATCTCACAATCAAAATCCACGCAAGGATTCGCGCGCCATTCCTGGTCACTCAAGTACGTGTGGAGCGCTTGTATACCTACAAAAATTGCTGCGAAACTACAGCCTACATTGGACCTCCATGCAGCTGTAGGTTTCACCGATCGATTCTGAGTATGGCAATTTTTTGTTCAATTCCTGCACCCACCTCTTATTCCAGCCTCCCGTGCCTCGGCCATCCATGAACCCATGAACCGGGCTCTTTTTGGGACTGCGCGCGACCCAGCGACGCGGCAGCAACGCGAGGTGGGATTTGGGCAACTACTACACGGTGGGCGGCTCCGGACGGGTGATCCCCAAGGACCCGGTGCTCGGGCACTCGGTCCGGACGCGACCGGTGACGAGGGGAGATGGGGGCAGGTTAGATGAGTGATGAGTGCCACATCTTCCCAGATCATTCGAGGAATGTCTTGGCTTCAGGTGATTGGTTTGAGTGCCAAGGTTTTACTGCAACCAGCTGGACGCATGCCCAAGTTCATAGTTGCTTACTCAGCCAATTGAAATAAGTCAAGGACGGAGGCGGGTGGGTCCAGTTTCTACACTTAATGGACCAACTCCGGCACCGAAATGTACCAAAGGCATTTTCCCGATATACCACCGGGTTCGCGAATCCTCCCACGACACATCGACTGCCCGACTGCAAACCGCTCAGGTCCATCCTTCAAGGCCTTCAGCAGCTTTCCACGGCCAAGGTGGTTTTCGACCTCTCCGATGATTGGAAGGCACGATGTATCGTGCTGATGCTCTGTCGGCGGATTTCGGCTTCCAGACACAGAAAGCGATGGACCTGCTTGGGGGGTTTCTATGGAATCAGTCGCGCCGAGTGCAACGAATCCTCAAACCTGCGGGTTGCAGGGAAGACGGAACATGGCCTCAACACTCACAGAAACATGGTCTTTCCTCTTCAAGACTAGTAAAGAAGAGGGAGTTTTATTGTGTTCCACTGGTTCTAAACAATACGTCTTCCTCCATCCATCCCCTTTATATATGGGAATATATCAACAACACCATAGAATGGGGTCTCCAGTCCCAGTCCCAACCCGTCATTCCCAACACCCACCTCCAGGCCTCCGTGGCCCTCGCCCAAACCGCCGAGCTGGCCGTGCTGTGCGGCGCCACCACCTCGGCGGAGGGCCGCGATCGCCGCGAGCTCAGCGGGGCGTGCACAGGGGGTGCACGGTGAAAGGATGCGAAAAGGATTCGTGAAAAGGGAAAGATGCTGAACATGAAATAAAGGAGTAGACCATGATTGCCAAAGTTCTTTTTTTGCGGCGGGTCTTGTTGGGTTGATTGCTGATGTGTTGCTGGGCGCTGAGGTGATATGCGATGACATGTGTTGGCCTGGTGTTGCCGGGATAATTTATATAAACGGCTGTTGGTGGCATCTGGCCTGGATCATCACTGATGCCAACGCACAAACCACATTTCAACCCCTTTCGCAATGTGAGGTCCAAATCTCAAGGTGGATCAGGAAGCCTTCGCACCTTGGCAGGAAGAGGCCAAAAGCCTTTTGTCAGAGTCTTCGAGCAAAAAACTCATGGCTTGGACACTTGGGCATTTGGCCCTTGTCCTTCAATAGTTTCAAGCCAGTTCTGAATCCTTCGCCGCTGAGGTGGTCAAAGTCGCGCAAGAGTTGAAGATCCCCACCGTCGTGGTGACTTTGATTCCAGGCCGGCCATGACATTGTTTCAGTTTCTTCATGTTTCACTAATCAGATCATTCCAGTCCCTTCAAGAGCTTCCCACCCATCATCCTCACATCCCTCTATCCTCCTCTCCATGCGCCCCCCAAGAGCCACCATGATTTCATGGCATCTCTCTCCATCCCTTCTTGGGCAAAGCCCTGTCCCCTTCCTCCTCACCCCTTCCTTCTGATCCACCGACCGAAGACCTCAGGCGCCATCGTGATGCCCTGGATCGCCCACGTGGACGCTGCGCTGGCGGCCTTCCTGCCCGGCGAAGCCACGGGCCTGGGCATCGCCCAGGTGCTGCTGGGCACCACGAACCCAGGTGCCAAGTCACCGGTCACCGGGCTGAAATAGAGAACCCAGCGAAAGCCTGAGTCGGGGGTGCTGGGAACGGAAGGGGGCGGGTGAGTTTTTGGGGTGGTTTGTGTGGGCAGATGAGGGTGGTAGATCCGTGATGGAAAGAAATCGGTTTATAGATGTTCACAGGCGATAGGATGCGATAAGCATAGGCATGCCAAGCTGGTAGGCCCTGCTAGGCGTTGGGGGCAGAGGAACGTTCAATTCATGGTCATGTTGCTAAAGCTTTTGCTATGAGCTATTGAGGACAACAGAGATGCACGTTGTCAGCCCTTTAACCGATGGGTGAAACGGGATGGTGAGCCAAACTGAGATCATACATATCATAAGCATGTGTAGTGTGTGGCACGTGGTGTGATGCGGCAGCTTGTGAGAATGAGAAGGTGCCTGTTTTCCTGGTGGTGTGTCTAGCAACCCGTGCGGAGTATGATATATTAAATATATACTGTATATATATATATACCCCCCAAAAAAACGATACCGGTAATACCATACTATACAACCATCTATAACCTTATGTTTTCCTGTTGTTCGCTCCCACGTGCTAAGACTATCGTTATGAATACGATTGGAGCATGCCTCAGCCTTTTCCTCAGAGAAACTGTTACGGGTACATTTGGGGGGAAACGATGTCCACTCCATGGGATAACGGGGTCAATGTAGGCGGACTCTCTGACTCACTAACATGGAAGCGGAAAGCCACCTGTTTATCGAGGAACATGGTCCTTCCAGTGGCCATGTTCCACTTCCATGTTAGTGAGTCAGAGTGTATAGATAGTTATATACCATACCCTACAGGTCCAAAAACATAGTAAAACCTGTTGCCTTGCCTCATTGGGTCGCGCTTTTTTTGGGGGGGCATGATCAACTCCAGCCAAAAATGAGGTCCTTGACCTGTAGGTTTTTGCGGGAATGTTTGGGTATCATATACGTCGTGCCTTCAAAGACGAGGTGACCTTTCCACTGAACGAGTCGGAGCTTGGGCGGCCTATACCTGGAGGGAGAGGTGGGTTGAATCAGCTTTGGAGAAGAAAGCAAGCCCCATACCAGTTGCCTGAGCACCGCAATGAGCTAAAACCACCTGGGCACTGGTGGGTACGTCGGCAGTCCTGACGCTCTTAGCAACCCAGTTCTGTTTGTACCTTGCATCCCCTGGCCCCCATGCCACTCTAGTTTGCAGAGCCGGTTTCCAAGTCTGTTGTTTCGAAGAGTTTTCAGGCAAACGCCCAACGAAACTGATGTGCAGTACTGTAAGTAAGCAGATACAGTTTACTGGAACAACTTGATGTTGTAACTGCACGGTGTAGCTTTCACATGTTGTGCTGTCACATGTTGCACAAATTTGCGCAACACATTGTCTCCAAGAAGATTGTACTGTTGCCGCCTGCTACGAGGTTACATTGCTTCCATTTGATTGCACTTCTTCAGTAGCTTTCACTGGTACAGGTTTTATCGGTACACTGAAAGCATGCCATGATATGCCATGGATCAAGTAACCCAGCAAGAGCATGCAAGAGCTGAGAATCTATTGGTGTTTTCAGGGCAGCCATCGGATTTTTCGGCCTTCGGAAGGCCGGACTCTCGGAAGGCCGGATTTTCCATTTTCTTCGGCCTTCGGAAGATGTAAACATCGTCACTGCCACTGAGGATGCCATCGCTCCTTGTGAGCCTCCGGAGGGAGTGAAATTTGAAACGCCCCACGGCGAAGTCAAGATGGGCACACAGGGTCTTATAACCTAAGTGGCCACGTATAGGGAGAGAGCGGATGCATGTGGAATGATTGGCAATTTTTTAAACAGACAGTTCTCGACGGGTTGCTAAACTTACTACTCATCATTTGATTGATAAGTTTGAAGACAGTTTTGATCTGTTTTAGTACTGGGTCCACTAGCCGGCCCGCCGAATGTGGACCTGTGCTTTGGAAGGAAAGTGGGCTGCAGAGAAGAAGCGCAACAAATTTACCACACTTTGATGGAGCATAGCTGCTTGCTGACTATGACTCATAGTCAAACGATTGATGATAGACACTTCATCACACTGTAACTCCCCTGCTTCAGATTTCTGTGGGGGCCCACGTGGCAGTTTGCATGTATACGGCGAACTACTCAATCTTATATATAGGCATTTGAGAAAACGTTTTGGGGAGGGATAGTTCTCTGACAAGCGCAGTGCCAGATTGTTTTTTGTACACACAATAACCCGCGAAGATACAAACTCATTCAAATTCAGTGGTAAATAGTGGTAATATATTACAATTTGTTGGGTTCAACCACTTTGGTTCGACCGACCATTTACCATCACTTGTTACATGTGTCACTTATCCTTTTGCTGTGGATTGTTGTGAAACCTGCGTCACCAGCACACCAGAATTCACCCAAAACAGACCGGGTCAGGAGCGCTGGATCAGTCCATCCCCATGTCGAGGCCAGATCAGTCCTTCCCATGCCCCTACGATGAGGGGATTATGGCAGGATTTCCCCACTACGAGGACAAGAAGGCGGAGAAATAGGGAGAACTATGGACAGGAAGGGCAGTGCACAGTGTACAGGCGTTGTCTCATCCATCGCCTCTTATTGACCCCCCATTTTGGACATGGCTCCCATGGATTTCGGTGTAGCAGTGGCCAGTGTGAATCACAAACCAAGGAGTTCAACCATTGATTTAAGGCCTCTTACCGAGCAACCATTCTGTTAATTTCTGTTACTGACTTTTTAGACTGCCAAATCAGGTCAACGACTCAACGACTCTTTTCACGGTCGATCGTGAACGGGACCATCCAACAGTTCTCTCCGGAGGTCGAGCGCAACCGCCTGTCGCCGGTCGTCCGCCGGTCTTCCCCGGAGGTGCAATACCCTTTTGGCCATGGCTTGTCCTACACCACCTTCAGCCACCCGGTGTGAAGACTCCTTCGAAAAAGACCGTTCTGAACGGTCCTCTTTCGGAGCAGCGGCGCGTGGGCGCATGGCGGAGACCGGGTTGTCACGGAGGATGTTCCGCAGACCTTGCACGTATGTGGGGGAGATGTGTCGCAGACCTGAAGGTTGGACCTGAAGCTTCATGACCCAGACACTCCATTGGGGTGGTTTTGGGGGTCAATGTAGGCATATGGCATGCATGGAGTGTTTGGGTGATGCTCGGCTCTGAAGAAGCGTAGGTTCGGTGCCGCCCGAGGCTGTTGCGGGGATACCTGGAAAACACACCGCCCGAGGCTACGACGATGTCACAGTGGTGGAAACCGCCTCGGAGGGCTGCGACGCCAAAGCTTGCGTCACGGTGGGAGCCCGAGCGATTGGGGGCCCGAACTTGTTTAGTTGCGGAATATTGAGAACATTTGGTTGACTGAGTTCTCGTTGGGTTATATGTTTTTGTTTTTTAGCGCCAGCTACTTTGAAGCGACATGTCCCCAAGCTGTTGCGGTTGATAGGATAAGGCACACCTCTCACCACTGGCTATTTTTCTTTGTTGTTGCGGACTGGAACTCCCCATGAAAAACACACACACAATCACACGGCATGACATGAGCCTACATCACGCGGATTGAGTATGATGCCCATGTTCGTGCCCTGCCATGACTCACGAGGTGCAGATCACCAACACGGGCCCTGTGGCTGGGGCCGAAGTAGTGCAACTCTACTTGGTGCTACCCGGCAAGCCAACGAGGGAACAGAGGATGGGGGACTTTCCAAGGCGTTTGGAGATGCAGGGTCCCGACCATCAGACCCCGCTTGGAATTAACAGGTCCAGGTAATAGGTAATAGGTTGGGCATGCACACAAAGGAGGTCTTCAAAGGCATGCAGACAAACCGCGTCAACAATGTGTTCTTTCCGCAGCAGCAATCTTGTTGTATACACACTTTAAATATCTTAGATTAAAGGAAGAACTTTCCAAACACTTTAAAGAAGAACTCTAAACAGTTTTATAGAAAAAGTTTACAATGTTCTATAAAGAACTTGTCAACATGTATGTCCTAACACTGGCCGAACAATAGTATAAAACTACAGTTTCCTTTTGTATTTATAAATGACAACCGTTTGTCGCCCGAACACTGACCGAACACTAGCATTTTTTGTAAACTGCTTTCCTTGTTTGAGCATTGTAACATTGAGAATAAGTTGTAAAATAAACTTGCAACTTTAATATAAAAAATATATGTTGAAAGAAGTTGAAGCTTACCAAAAGAAGTTCAAAGTTGCAAAAACATGACATAAAGTTGTTGCTATGTCTGTGTTACGTATAGGCTTGTTCCAGGCACAACCATCGCAGACCTGTTGAAAACACTCAAGTAATAGGTCTTTGAGTTGTTCTTTTCCTCTCCAATGAGTCTATGATGTTATATTTTGTGCTGTTTGAATCTCATGCTGATTCTTCCACCTGATGACATCGTACACTCCTGCCCCACAATGAGCTGATTTGACGGCAACAAAGCCGTTTCGATTTTTTTGGTGTCAGTGTTTCTTACAAGATATGCATATTGAATCTGCCATGAAACCACCACTTCAACCCCAAAAATATCCAAAAGCCAGAGTTCGAACTGGCGGATTCGTGTTAGAACCTGGCATCCCACCTGTGCAGGAGGGTGAGAACCTCAGGCACTTCTCGTGGGATTGGTGTGCAAGCGATGGGTTTTTCTCGGGGTGAAGAGTTCTGGTACGACCCCGGCTGCGCCACAGGACAGTGGAAAATGGTGATCTGATATCCCTGATATCACAAGTCTTCCAGGGTTGCACACCAGACTCCTGCCGTGCGGACGTTGATACCCAACACCTTGGGATGGCCGTCTCATGCCCAGACTCCTCCCATGTATCGGACGTACGTGTCGCATCCTCGCTGCTGAGAAAGGTTTCCTGAGGATTTGGGCCAACCCAAGAAGGGCCTGCTGCGAGGCTTTCAAAAGGCGCCAGCGCCGAAGGTTCTGGCGAACCACCTTCTTCTTGGGCCGTGGGGGGGCCGTGGGTGGGGTGGCAGACGCCAGACCTGAAGAATAAGCAGGTATATAATATATATAGAAAAGAAATGGGAGGAGTCGTGAGAGTCCACGCGGGAGAATCCATTTGTCGTCCACCTGACATCTAGAGTCTCTAGAGTCTAGAGGAGAACCCTTTGCAGAAGAAAAACTGAGGTGCTGATCTTCGTCAGGACTTGTGCTCGTCACCACCAAACGGAGAAACTAAACCGTCCGAACGCTCCAGGGTCGACCAGGATCGAGTGACCGGGGTGACCAGGCCACCGGGCGCGGCATCGGCCACGCAGGTGAACTTGCCGGCCGGGGCGTCTAAGAAGGTCACCCTGAAGCTTTGGGAGAAGGACGGGGAGCGACGAAGTCCGGCACGTGAGCCTTTTGATAGGGCCAGGTGACGGGTGTTTGAGGGATTGTATGAGATTGTGATGTGAATAAAGCACGAACAGTACATATTCAATTCAATCATTGTTTTAGTATGTTGTACTATGTATGTTTGTTTAGCATGCGTTACAGTCAGTAATTACGTTGTTATAGGTCCACAAGATCCAGAATTTCAATATCAACCACCTTTTCCAAAACCACTGTAAGACGTTATGCCAGGTAGATCCTAGCTGCCATCCTGCCTTTTGTGACTCCCGCCGTGTTTGGCATTTGAAACTCGCCAGCTTTTGCCAAACATGGAAGGATTTAAGCACCTACTCGGAGGAGAAGAAGGGATGGGTTTATTCCAAAGGACCATTCCACTTGCGTATTGGCTCATCGACGCTCGGTGGTGCCTTGTGCTTTTTTTTTTTTCAAATCCGTGGGAGGCTGCAGGGAGTTTAGTGTCCAACTGATTTGACCAAGCTTCTCTCCTGGCAGAGTCAGCATCATCATCAAGCTTTGGGGGGCACCCCAGTAAGATAGGAGTCCCACTCCCTGCAATTCTGGAGTCAATATTCATCGGGCCAGTGAGTAGTCATTCCTCACGTGGTGTTCTTTCAGTAGTTCTTATTGCCGTCTCAGACGTCTTCGGCCAAAAGCCGCACCAACTCCTTGCACGACCGGGGCCGCGCCAGTCTGCGCTCGCGTGCACGCTCGCGGCGCGGATCGCTCGTCCTAAGGAGCCGTGACATCCGACTCACGCGCTCCTTCTGAGGACTCCGATGCGTGCGTATAGAGTGAGAACGCGTGTCGCGTGTGTCGCGTGTGGGGGGGAGGCGACCAAAGAGCAAGCCAAAACGAAGATGCCGCCAGCATGTTGCACGTCCGGAATTGATTCTAGGTGTTCTGAACGTCGACACTAGTGCAGGCAGATGCCGAACGATTTGTTTGGGCACAACCGGTACCAAGCACTTCCTAAAACCTCGTCGATTCTGTTGAGCAGGGTCAAGGCTTTGACCCAGCCACTTAGTGGTGCTTCTCTTTGCAGCACCAGGATCCTTTGATACTCGAGCTCGGCATCGCTTGGCTGGTGGAAGCTACGGACTGCTAGAGTTCTGAGTGCAGAGACATCCGAGAAGTCTGGGCAAGTTTGAGAGTGTCAATGGTCGTGTTGAAACGTTGTATAGCCATCCCCTAACAATTAACAATTGAGGGAAAGCTTCAACATGAAGGATTTCATTACCCCATTGCAGCTGCTGCAAGCCTGCTTTTTGTTGAAAGAGGGGCAGTCGCCGTTCTCGACACCCTCCGACTGTAGCAATTTTCCATCCGACGGCCCTGGATCTGCATCTGGAGGCGTCTCTAGAACTCCATCCGGAGTTTGCGGGTGGATGGGAACGACAAGCAAGTTTTTGGCGCTGAGGCTCCTGAAAAAAGATTGATTTCTTTGTTAATGAGTTTTTAATGAAGTTTGATTCAAGCGGTTTTGGTACGGAATCCACATACCGGGCACTTAGTGGTTCCTGTGAGATTTCACGCTTTTGATGTTCGCATGGCTGACATGTGTTGTC